TAACATGTCGAGGGTATTAGCGAGATTTATTTTTTCTTAAAGATAGGAAGCAATGCAGGTTTGAATCTGCTGTCATATTTTGGACGGAGCGGCAAGTCAGTAGAAGTGTGTCAGTGGTCAGTTCTTTGTCAATTGTATGTAAAGGCTTGCTAGTGTTCTCTAACCCTCTATATCCAAGGATTGGTTTTCATAATCTCCGCACTGTTCTCTTTAAATCCTCTTTTGTACGGAGAAGGAGAATTTGTTTGACAACCAGGAACTTTTTCTTTAATTCTCATGAACTTTACTTTTGATTCAAGGACGATAATATAAATAAGAATTATAAGCCAGTAATTCTTAGGGGTTAAAGGGTTTAAGCTGACTGTTCTTTCAAGGAGAAACATCTATAGACTTCATCAAATTTGAAAGCCTAACGTTTCGTTGTGAATTGTAACCTTTCCTTTCATAACTTACCATGACAATTCTTTCCTCTAAAACCTTGCTTACACGCACACAGGTAATCTTCATCATTGACCTCAATGCACCGTCCATCATGCATACAAGGACTGGGGTTACAAAGGTTCTTCACGCACTGATAACTGTCCACTCCTGTTTGGTGACATTTGTTGCCAAACTGACAAGGATTGGGTTTGCAGAGATCTCGTTCTGAAAATGATTGATTCGATGTTACGTCTGTTACTTACTGGAATCAATCCATAATCTTATGGCCAAGGTTTTTAATTATGACTCATGTCTCACATCTTTTTTAAAAAAAAAAAAAACTCCTATTCCCAGGTATGCCAGTTAGAATTGTCAGCTCCATAAAAGTAGCCGATCAGAACTAAGGTGGAAAGATAGAAAGGAATTGATACCTTGGCAGTGTCTTCCTTTATATCCTCTTGAACAATTGCAGACAAAACCATCATCCGTGTGAAGACAGGCACCGGAGTTCAAACAAGGATTAGGACGGCAGGGATCCAAATCTGTAAAAAGCAATGGATTAAAATTCTAACCATATCAATGAAGAACTTCATCAGGATAGATTTAAGCATTAATAAAAAATTGCTCCAAACCTAGCTGAAAGTTTCTCTCCTACACTTACCTGTTTCGGTGGTTGTCAGCCATCTTTTTTAGTGCTGAAGATATCGTCATTAGGTATTAATTAAGATGCAAGCGTGCAAATTTATTACACTTAAAGTAAAGATTGTGGGCGTTTGAACGTTAAGACTTGCCTAGCTCTCTTAGACTAGCATATCACAAGAAACACCTTTAGACGATATATTAGCTTTTGCAAAATGGCTGACAGTTACAGCTATCAATAACAAATGAACAACATCCGCTGGGGATAACAACAACAACAATTTAAACATAGTGAACTAATATAACGTTGGTGCGCTGCCAATCAGGAGTTACCATGGATTCATGGAAATTGACGTGGCCTACCTTGACAGTGTGTGCCACGATATCCCGCTGTGCAATTGCATAAAAAACCCAGTTCGTCGTTGATCTCCATACACATGCCATCATGCAGGCAAGGATTAGGGTGACATCTGTCTTTTTCTGTGGAACAGAATTGCACAATAACTGTTCCGCTTCTATTTCACATTTCATATCAAAGCCAGGAAATCCTGATCTCTGTCATCCCCCAAATGGAAGAACAAATGTCTATCCTGATACTTTTTTAAAATCTTTACAAATATATTTAATGTAATTCAATTTATTTAACTTCCCCTGATTATTTTGACTTTCCCATCATTTTCTAAGATTTGCTATTATTTTTCAAGGGCCTTTACAAGATTTTCCGGAAACGTTTTCCTTTACAAGCGTATGAGTTACTTCTTACAAATTATTAGGTGTAAATGATCGTAGACAAAGAGGGAGTCGTGTGCGCGCTGAAAACCTCTTTCTTCACCTCGGCGTTGATCATTTCCCTAGGCCCCAAGAAGCAATCCACCGCTCATCCTCGTCAAAGCGATTTACCACGAGCCATACTTACGATGAATGTCTAAAATTCATCTCATTTTAGCGAAAGTATTGCTTGCAAAGGAACACTCACCGCCACACTGCATGCCTTTATATCCAGAGATGCACTGACAAGCAAACCCGGGCCCTCCTACAACTTCCCGGCAAACACCACCGTGTCCGCATGGATTTGGATGACACTTATCGATATCTAGGGCCAAAGAATTAGTTTCTTTCAGAGATGCAGTAATTTGGAACTAGTTTTTCCTTGAGGAAGATTCTCAAAAGTATTCTGAAAAAACCGTGTGGGAAATTATAGACCAACCTCTTAACCAATCAAATGTAAAAAACTGAAGCTCATGGTGACTTGGTGACTTAATTTCTCCCAATTCTTTTCTTTACTATTCTTCAATTTACCACACTTGACCCAAAAACGCTCTGAAACATATATTACTAAACATACTTTCTTAGTACGAACTAATCAGCCATTTTCTTACCTTGGCAAGTGGGTCCTTTGAACCCCAGAGTACAATTGCAGGCAAAACCTCCACCGATTTCTGTACAAAACCCGCCATGACCACACGGATCAGGTCTGCAAGGATCTTTGTCTAAATTTTCATGAAAGAGAAGTTTAAATTCCAACTTGACATATAAGATGAATTCAAAATAGCTGTGATATGGATAAAAATCCTATTGCCTGATACGAAACAAGGGCTTTTGGCTTATCAGCAAAGGTTTCCTTTTTTCTTTGTTGAACAATTTGAGTCACAGAAACAAAGTCTGTCCCAGCCGAGAGACAAGGCCCTCAATTTCAGGGGTGAGCTAGTAATTTTGAGCCTGAGCCTTGCCAAATTACTCACTAAACATACTCTTATTCACAACCCTTGTCATCTGGCAATGCTTGGCACAAAATTGTTTCCTACTGGGAGAAGGGCAGTCTATTCATTCCTCTATCCGTTGATGCAATTAAAATTTGGCAAACTGAAATTAAGCTGACCTTGACAAGTGGTCCCTCTGAATCCCATGGGACATTCACAATCGAAACCACCACCAAAGTAATGTGCCATGCACCTTCCACCGTTTTGACATGGATTTGGCTGACATTCATCTTCCTCTGAGGATCGAAACAAGACAGTTGAAACACTATTAATATCTTCGGGAGCACTGATCAGAAACCGGTTGTCAGGGCACAAGGGGGGGGGGGGGGG